AGCCACGCGCGGCTCCGGGAGCCTTCCTGGATCGCTGGAGCCTTCCTGGAGCGTTCCCGGAACATTCCCAAGCCTTTCCAACGCTCCCGCCCGTCCCCTCCAGCGAGAGGCAACCCCGATCCCGGGGTGGGACCCCGGCCCCTCCCCAGCTCCCACCTGCTCCCAGTTCCTGTTCCTGTTTGCTCACCGGGCTCCCTCCCTGCCCCGCTACACGTGGCTGATAAGGCACCTCCCGGGCGCTGCCAGCGGCCTTTTCCCGGCGCTGCGGAATTCCCGAGCCATGGAGCATCCCTTCCTGGTACCCGCGGGGTGCTCCCCCATCCCCGATCCCACGCCGATCCCAGCGGGGAAGCACCGCAAGCGAAGCCAGCGCCGGCTTCCATCCCTCTGGAATCACGTCCCGGGGGTCCGAGGAACCCCCCCCACACACACAGGAGGGAGCACGACCCCCCCCAAATTCCCGTTCCAGGATGGCCGACGGCCACGGCTGGTGGAAGCTGACGTTCCTGAGGAAGCGCCAGGCAGCGCCCACGGTGCTCTACGAGACCCCCGACGGCCCCGCGGCCCCCGGGGGGGACCCCCAGGAGGGCACCGGCCCCGAGGGACCCCCCGGCTTCGCCGCCCGCCTGGAGAAGCTCGTGGACAAGAGCACCAAGGGGAAGCACGTCAAGGTCTCCCACTCGGGGCGCTTCAAGGAGAAGAAGAAAGTGAGGGCGACGCTGGCAGAGCACCCGAACCTCTGCGGGGCCGCCGAGAGGGAGGAGAAGTGACCCGGCGGGATGTCACCCTCCGGCCACCCCGGGAATGCCGATCCACGCGGCCCCGGGAGGAGAGAGGACTCGGGAGGGGGTTTATCCCAGGGATAATCAAGGACCTGGGATGGTTGAAAGCCCGTCCCTCCCACTGCCCCTGCCCAGGCTGACTGGTTCATACTGGGATGAGGACACTCCCCCCGAGCCCAGAGCCCACCCAGCTCTGCCCCCATCCCATTCCCCATCCCGAGCTCCCAGTCCCACGCCGTGTCCTTGCCAAGTCAGCCCCAAAACTCGGGATGTGACACTTCCCTGCCCCGCTGGGCCAATCCCCCCGGAGCTGCCTCCACGGGGGGCTCCCGGGAGGAGCAGCATTCCTCAGGGAATCGCTCCCCGCTGCTGGAAGGGGGGAGCCGGCCCCGGGGGGCTCCTGCTGGCTGCTGGGGGTGTTGGAAGCTCTGGCACCTGCTGCTAATTAACTGCTGTTAATAAACCAGGGAGAGCTCAGCACATCCCTGGATCCAGCCTGGCAGGGTGGGAGGAGGGCTCTGGATCCTTCCAGGACCCCACTGGGAGCAAAGCCATCCCAGGGAATCCCTGCCCCCGTGGCAGTGGAAGCAGAGGCAGCTCCAGGGGGATCTTGGTGGATCCCAGCCCCTGGGTGGGAGGGCTCTGGATCCTTCCAGAACTCCAGCAGGAGCAAAGCCATCCCGGGGAATCCCTGACCCCGCGGGGGTGGAAGCAGAGGCAGCTCCAGGGAGAGCTCAGCAGATCCCTGGATCCAGCCTGGCAGGGTGGGAGGAGGGCTCTGGATCCCTCCAGGACCCCACTGGGAGCGGAGCCACCCCGGGGAATCCATCCCGGGGAATGCCCGACCCCCTGGAGCAGGGACACGGGGGGGTTCCAGGGACACGGGGGG